CCCTACGGACCTGGTCCGTCCACCATCTCCTAGGATATCTAGTCAGGCTGACCACATTATACAATTAACAATTTACATAATTTTTCGTTCTCCTTTTCCTCAGTCAGCATCATCAATTTACATACAAACAAGCAAACAGTAATTTATGCCAAAAAAGACAACATACAACATCGGTTTCTCAGTCATTCAACCCATAATCAATAAAACAGTAAAATATGCACGCGAAACAATGAAATGAAAATATCAGACCTCATACTGCATTTAAAACTGTAAAATATGCCAAATAACAGTTAACCGACAAACACACTAGACTCGGGCTCCATTAGCGACCTTAAGAAATTTCACACATTCGTTGATTCAAGAAATACCGTTTTATCATTATTGAACTTTAATACCGTGATAGGAAATAGGGTGAGGGGTCCTTACTTGTTTCGGGGTCCGAACACGGCTTCACAGTGCGCCTACAGGCTGTCCCTAATTTTCCCTAAATTTTTCCTGGGGAACTGAAATGCACTACCGGTACCTGCACGTGTTCCAAAAAATCCCAAATTAGGCACAGGGCCCCTTTTTGGCCAATATCGCAATTCCGGCATGGCGACGATTTGCCTCAGGTTGGTCGTTTTCGGCCGTTTCCGGCCGAATTCGGCCACACTTGCATCGGTCCATGCGATAAAACAACCTTAGGGCCCTCGGGGGGCCAAAAAAGTACGGAAAACCGAAGCTTACCGGCGGCGGTGCTCTTGGGTGCGGCGGCTCTCCGGTGAGGTTCGTGTTTTAGTGATTCGGCTCCAATCAACCTGTAGAGAAAAGAATGGTGATTACGGTGATATAAAAATTGCATCAGACGGAGACCGGGAAGGGCCTCATCGGAGGCAAAAACCGAGGAGGGGCGCGGCGGCACCGCTGGGTTTCGGCCGTATTTTTTGGCCGTTTGGCCGGGATTTTGGCTCCGATTTGGCAACAGGGAAAATCAGCGTGGAAAAACGAGTCGAGGGTATGAAATTTACCTCGATCGGCGGTCGAAAATCTCCCCGATGCGGCGGCGGGTGGCGGCGGCCGGCTTCTCCGGCGTCTGGTTCGTCTTCTCCTGCGAGGGCAGGCGGCTAGGGTTTTTGTGGTCAGGTGTGGGGGTTCTATTTATACCCTTTTGCCTTTTGATCTCAGTCGTCCATTTTGATTTAATCTGGGCCGTTCGTTTTTGATTGAATCTGAGCCGTCCGTGCGATTGCATTTGGGCCGTCCGTGTGCACGCTTGATCTGGGCCGTCCGATCGCGCGTACGCGGATTGCCAACGTGGTCCGTCCCCGATCGACGTGTTCTTGCCACATGGCAGGTCCTGGTTGGCCATGACTGTTGACTGGGTCTACTGATGTGATGTCTTTTTTTTTTTTTTACTTAATAAAAATATTTAATAATAAAATACAAATTTTCCAAATTTTCGGAGCGTTACAGAGATTGTAAAACTATTTAGAATTTTTAAATATTAGTGCCTTGATGTACCATATAAAAAAAAGAGACGTGAAGGAGAGGAAGTGAGGAATTAAGAATTGGGAATAGAGTTTGTTTAAACTTATCTAAATTAAAAGAAATATCACATAATATTCAAAATGATATTTAAACTAATAAAAATATAATACGTATCAATAAATTCAATACGTGGTACTCTAAATTAATAGTTTATATTAAAATAATGGATTAAATTTATTTATTTAATTTGATTAAAAAAATAAAATAAATAATATTAATTTAAATAAAAATAAATAGTACAAAAGTTAAATGATTATTTATCCAACTTACATTTGTAAGATTATATCAACGTGGAAGATTTAAAAAAAAAAATTATAAAATTTTACATTAGAAAGTGAATTAAATACATCAGCATGTGCCAATCTATGACCATTAAAATAATAATTTATAAGTTTTGATGCAATTTAATAACAAACGCATAAGTTTTTTTCTATTAATGAAGGCGCAAGTTATTCTTTCATTTTTTAACGTTCAAATATTTCTTTCATAATTCTTTCTTACTGTGACTCAAATTACTTTGAAGTTTTCATTCCTTTAAATTATTCATAA